TGCATGTGCTTATAATTGGATATTGCAGATACCCAGCCAATGTAATTATTACATACCTGCTAGGTTTCCCCCCCCCCCTGTCCTTGGCATCTCCACTTTCAGAGGAAAACTGGGGGAAAAAATGTTTTTTTTCTGAAAGACCCACTGCCAATTTGGGCACCTTATCAGCCAAGCCGCAGTCCTTTTGCAAATGCATTTCCTGCTCCTATATTATTCTATACGTTTCCAGAGGTTTTGTGTCTTTATATTCTGTTAAACCATCTGGTGATCCTGTCTTTTTGATCTAGATTTTCCCAGCATACTGAACCAAATCCAGACAGTCTGATAGGCGAACCGAATCGTCAAGTTTTAGCGGCTTCCGGTTTTCCAAGTTAACGGTGAGTTAACCTTTTTCTTTTAAGTGATGGAAGCTCGTAGATTCAACGGTCCACTATGACGTCATGTTGCTATGTTCTTCGCTGGTTGTCTGGCATAGGGAGCCTCTTCCTTAGAAACTATGTGTGAGCTTTTCCTGAATGATACCAGACTCCTGCTGGTGCCATTTCATCCATTGTGCCCATTCACATATGCCAGCTCTTAAGGGTATCATGGATCGAGTGGTCTTTTAATGCTCTCGACTTGGAAAATAAATAAATGAAGTAGAGTTTGCCAGTGCAAGGATATCTACTAAAGAATTCAGTTCTTAGGCACTTGCAGATCTGTCATTGATGAAAGTACAGGTAGAGGCTAACAGAGTTGGAAGGGACCTTGTAGATCATCTAGTCCAACCCCCCACCCAAACAGACCCTACACCATTTCTGACAGATGGCAGTCCTGTCTCTTCTTGAAAGCCTCCAGTAATGAAGCTCCCACAGAACACAACTTCTGTTCCATGGGTTGACTGTTCTCACTGTCAGAAAATTTTTCTCCTTATTTCTAGCTTGAATCTCTCCTTCCTCAGTTTCCACCCATTATTCCTCGTCTAGCCTTCGGATGCCTTGGAAAAGTAAATGATCATCTTCCCAGATTATTTATCCTGGGCACTTTTTACCAAGCACTTTTTACCAAGTGGCTAATTGGGAACCTTTTATTCTTCTTTGCTTGCAACTTATCCATCCTGGGCTGTTCTCACAACCTTCAGTGGGAGGCATACAAAATGGAACTTTACATGGGTTGGGCACTTATGATCTCCTTACTACTATCTAGTGTGGTCAGGCCTTTTAAAAACACCTTTGAATGCAGCCAGGGTTTTCTGCATAGGGAACCTCGGCAGCGTCTCAGACCATACTAAACTCCCAGGTTGGGAATCACCAGGCCAAACCGTGGTTGAGTAATTTGGGAGCTCAGGTTGTTACGTGAACCGGTCCGTGCCAGCTTAAGATTCGGTGCAATCGTACCTGTGATTCTTCATTAACCTGTAGCACTCTTAGCAACAGTTTATTGAATGAATGGATGCACATAAACTAACAGTATCGGCTGGATTCACCCAACAGGTTGATGCACAGGCTAGCCAATCACGGCTTGGCCTAGTAAATTGTGGCTCCGTCCATTTTGGGTGTTGCGTAAGTAAGGTGAGTCGGGTTTTGGTTTACTGCAGGGGTCCCCAAACTTGGCAACTTTAAGACTTGCGGACTTCAACTCCCAGAATTCTCCAGCCAGCTGAAGTTGAAGTCCAAAAGTCTTAAGTTGTCAAGTTTGGAGACCTCTGGTTTAATGTGTTGAGTTGATCCAGCTCTGGTGGTCCGCAAACTAATAGTGTATACGGTTTAGCACGCTGGAAATATCCAAATGGTTGCGGGTATATTGTTACAGAATACAGGTTAAAGCGGTTTTGCCTTAATGCAAACTGGGAATTGGGTCACCCAGTACAAAGAACACAGGAGATATTCTTCACGGTAGGAATCCATAGATAATTAAATACTTGCACTCTTCTTGGGAGCGATTTGCAATAATGGGAAGAAAAAGAAACATTTCTGTAATAGTTTAGAGTCTATTGCTCTTACAACCACTCAGTGAAATATATGAAATTTCTGCCCTACAAATGGCGTAGGAAAGGCAGCGGCATAAACCCTTTTTGAGTTTTCATGTGCTTAGAGAGGGCCGTAAAGCACCCTGAAGCGGTATATAAGTTTAAGAGGGCTATGGCTATTCTCACTTTAGGCTAAAGTTTTTTTTTTCTTCCCCTGTGAACTCAGCCTTGCGGTCTGCAAGCCAGAGTTTATGGATTAGTGACATGCACAAGACTGCAATGGCCCATTGGCCAAATCGGGGCTGAAACAAGCCTCTGTGTAGCCCACGGTGTGAATCCAAATGACAGATGGGGAAGTAAGGGATCTGGAAGTAATCAACTCATTCTTTGGGGCTTAGCATCAGGCTTCCCCCAATCAAACTTTTTAAAGAAAAGCTGGGTGGGGGGAAAAGTTGATATTGTTTGAATCGGCCCGTTCCCTGCCCAAACTGGCATCCAGAACCAAGCGTCAGAAGCTGGGACTTGGGATTTTCGACAGCCAAGTTGCTTATTGCTCCTTCTTTACTCCAGGAAGTAGCTCTGGGCTTTAGAAAAGGAGCTGGCGGGAATGTGAAAATGAATTAAAACCAAAAAAAAAAAACGGGTACCTGTCCATTAGGGGCCCTCAATCCATCCTTCCCTGCTTTGAACTCGTTTGAAGGGAAAGCCTCCCTCGATGGGACCGTCGGAAGGGAGCCCAACTTGGATACTAGTCCCATCCAGGCCAGCTGGACAGCTTAGGATCTCTTGCCCCCCCCCCAGCCCTTCCTCACTCCTTCCTCCTCCTCCTCCCCATCGTCTGTTACCGTTCATCCCTGGACGGGCCAGGGTCATTTAAACGGTCCTCCCCAACCCTCACCCACCGTTCCCACCCACCCACCCCATCCCCAATACCCAATAAAGTATCGCTGGAAGAAGAAGCCCAGATCGCCGCGTTTAGAGCATCGCAGCCCGGGCGCGATGCAAAACGCAACACCCCTCCCTCCCCTTTTTCTCGCTTCTTTTCTTCTCTCCCTTCTTCTCTCGGTTTTTAGGGCCGGTTGGCAGAAGGCAAAGGAGGCCGAGAAAGTCGCTCTCTCTCTCTCTCTCTCCCCCGTGGCGCGCGTGGGAGTCAACGGCGCGCGCGGGGGAGGGGGGGGGGGGGGGGTCCGGCGAAGCCAAGAAGGAACCGGGCGGGCCCCCCCCCCCCCCCCCCCCCCTAGCCCCCCCCCCCCCACGCCCCCACGGCGATCTCGCGCCAACAGCAGCAGCAGCAGCAGCAGCCTCGGAGCGGCCGGGGCGGGCGAGGTAGTTGAAGGGGAGACCGCCGGTTGGAAAAGCCCCGGAGAGCATCGCGGCGCGGGGAGGAGCGGAGCAACGGGCAAACGCAGCAGGGGGAAGAAAGGTGGAAGGCGGCGGCGGTTGTCCGTCCCTCCAGCCCCGGTCTTAGACGGCCTGCCAAGCCGAGAGATCCGAGGGCCAAAGGGGAGGGGAGGGGGGGGGGGGCAAGACGCGGGGGCCGGGGGGCGGGGGGGGGGGGGGGGGGGGGGGGGGGGGGGTCGGGGCCCGGCGGGGGGGGGGGCCTTGGGCGGCGGCGGCGCCGAGGGGCCCAGGGGAGGGGAAGCCGGACTCGAGAGCAGCGGCCGAGACGGCCCACAAGGGGGGCCGGGCTGAGCAAGGGCGGCGCGCCGCGGCGTGCTGGGGGCGCTTGGCTTCTGCTCTGCCGCCGCCGCCGCTGCTGCTGCGAGTGGCAGCAGGCCGGGCCGGCGATCGGGGCCTTCGAAGCGGGAGCAACTTCTACGGGGCGCGGACGGGCGTCGGGAGGGACGAGGCGAGGCGGCGGAAACGGCCGGCCGGCGAGGGGGGGGAGCGCGAAAAGAGAGAGAGAGAGGAGATCGTCCGGCCGAACGGTGTGGGGCGCCTCCCTCCGGCGGCATCTCCCCCCCCCCCGCCAGCCCTCCCGAGAGGAGCCGAGGGAGCGACGGAAGGAGGTAAGCAGGCCAGCGCTTTCCCTCCACCCCGGGGAGAGCCGGCGGGGGCCGAGCCGGCTGGAAAAGGGCAAAGGCGTTGGGAGGCAGCCAGGCTCGGGCGCCACCGCCGCCGCCGCGCTGCGCCACTGGATCCGAGGGTGCGCCCAGGCAACGCAGGTGCGGACAGCCCCAAACCCCGCGCAGCAGCGGCAGCTGCTCCGGCCGGGCCTGGAGGGCGGCATCGAGGGCGGGAGGAAGGAGAGAGAGAGCAGGGGAAAGGAGGCGACCTCGGGCCGCGCCAGGTAACGCCGATCGCGGGGAGTGCGGTGGTGGGAGGGGGGAAGCTCCGGCCCCGCCGACTTGGGCTTGGGCTGCTGCTGCTGCTGCCGCCGCCCCTCCGTCGGGGTGCAGCGGGCTCCCCTCTCCGCGCGGGGCTTAGCCACCGGGCGCTAGCCGGACCCCGCGCCGTCCCGTGGGCGAGGGAGAGAGCGGGAGGGCGGGCGCGCCCCCGGCCCCTCGCCCCCTCCCCGTCTTTGGACCCCCGATATGCAACCTTCCCTCAGCCGCCCACCCCCCGGGGGGGGGGGGGCGCAGTTGAGAAGAAGCGGGCGCCCCGCTTTGGGATGGGGGCGCCCCCCAACTCACGCACCCATGCGAGTTTTGAGCCCTGCGTGGGAACTGAGAACCCCCCCTCCCGTTTTCCCTCCTTCCCGCCCGGGGCAGCGGGGCGAGGGGGGGGTCGCAGGGAGCCCTGTGAGCGTCACGGCTGCCCCCAGCGTTGATCCCTCGACCCACCCCTTCTTATCTCTCTCCCTCCCCTCGGGTGGAGGAGGGACCCGCCCTGGCCCGGCCCCTCCCCCCCCCCCGGCCGGGCGCCAAGCCCCTCCTGAATCACCCCCCCCCCAACACCCTTCCCCTTCCCATACGGGCAGGGCCCTGCCGCGGTGCAGCCTGGGAGCGGTAGTCCGCAGGGCAGGGCCGGGCGCGGTGTGGGCGTGGGGGGCCGCCGGGCGGCCGGACTACACTTCCCGGCAGGCCCTGCAGCGGCGGCAGCGGCAGCAGCAGCAGGACGACTCGGCAGCCGCCGTGCCTGGCTTCGCCTCGTCCTCCTCGCACTCTCCGGCTGCCGCCGCCGCGGAGCGAAGAAGAAGAAAAAGAAGAAGAAGGGGAGCCGGCCCAGCCCCGCCGTCCGGCCCTTCCGCTCGGCTGGGGCTGCCTTCCCCCCCCACCGCCTCAAGACGCCGCTGGTCCCTCGGAGGGGGCCCGCCCCGGGAGCAGGTGCGTCTCCGCCGCTTCCCTTCCTCAGGCCCGCCGCGCTCGCTCGCTCGCCTGCCTGCCTGCCTGCCTTCCCCCTCCGTCGCCATCGGGGAGGGAGAGGAGGGGGGGGCCGCGGCGTGTGAGTGAGGTTTCCATGGAAACAGGGAGCGGGCCTTGGACCGCGGCCCTTTCCTCGCGCGCGCCCCCCCGCCTCGCCTCCTTCAGGCGCCCCCCCCCCGCCCCGTCTTCCTCGCCCGCCCGGGTAAGGTCCCGTCCAAGAGCGACGGGGCTGGCGGCGGCGGCAGCAGCAGCAGCAGCGCCCCCGCGGCTCTTCCGCGGCCACTCTCTCGCCCCCCCACCCCCGTATGGGTATGGGTGGGGGGCCGTAGAGATCCCCTCGGAGGAGCCCCTTCCGTCTAGCAGGAAGCAGAGATCCACTTCCTCGACGGCCCGTCCAGCGCGGGGAGGGGGGGGCAGGGGAGAGGGAGAGAGGAAGCTGCTCCGCCCGGACGCGCCCTGCCCTCCCCTCCCCCGTCTCCCCTCCGACGGGGCGGGCGCAGCGTCGATCCGGGAAGAAGAAGAAGCCACCTCGATCTCTTCCTTCTGCACCCCCCCCCCCCCAAAAAGCAAGCAAGCAACCACCACTGTCTCTTCGCTGCCGCCTCCGGGGAGGAAAAGGGCTTTTGCACGTCGAGGGGGAGGGGGGAGACCCATAGCAGTATCTCCCCCACCCCACCCCGGGTCTCCCAATTCCCCGTTTGGCTGGGGAGGGGTAGGAAGCGCCATCGGAGCCCCCTCCGACCCTTCTCGCTCCCCCATCCCCGTGTCCCGTCCCGTCGCGTCCCCCACCCAAAAGGAGAGGAAGGAGCCGTCGAAGCGAGCCCGGGACCCTTCGCTTTCGCTTCTCCCGAGACTTGCGGCTCGGGGCGGGCCGAGGCTCCCTGGGCTGGCCTCCCTCCGGCATCTGCGCCGGCTTTTCCCTCCAGCCCGGCCCCTATAAAAACAAGAGACAAGGGCGATGCCCGCGACGGCCCCGAGGGAACGGGCAGCCTGGCGAGTGGGTGGGTGGGTGGGTGGCGTGGAAGCCGGGGCGGAGCGCGCGGGCGGCCGGCCGAGAGGGAGAGAGAGAAAGCCAGCCAGCTCCCGGGGCTTGGAGGTCTGGGTGCGCGGCCGGAGGCGGAGCCCAATCCGCCCCGGAGGCGATGCCGCGGAGCTCGGCCGCAGCACAGCAGACCCCGATCGCTAAGCGGGGCCGAGCCAGGAGAAAGGAAGCAAGCTCCGGGGACGGCCGTTTGAACAAGGCGAAGCGGGCCGGGCAAACTTGGGGCTGGCCCCGGGGTTGGCCGGGTGGTTGTGTCCCGGGGGCGCCTCGGCGGAAGCTTGTAAACCTCGCCGGCTGCTGCTGCTGCTTTTGCGGAGAAAGAGAGCGAGAGCGAGAGGTCGGGGGGAGCCGAGGCCTGCCGGGGCTTGAAAAGGAAGCGCAGGGTAAGAGGAGGAGGTGGAGGAGAAAGCGGCGATCGGGGAGGGATTGCGCGGCGGCGCAAAGGGGACGGGCGACTCCGCGAGTTGCAAGGAGCCCCGTGCCTGGCAGGCCGGCCGCCGCAGAGGTCGGCTGCTTGCGGCAGGCTGGAGCCAGAGGTCCTTCCCTGGCAGGTAGGCATTTCCCTGCCTGCCCAAAGGCCAGGGGAATGGCCTTGTTTACTTGGCCCGCCTGCCTGGAGAACCACAGCCTGACAGCAGAGAAAGAGAGAGGGGAACCTCCTCTACCTGCCCCAACAGGTGACCCATCCACATCGGTGATCCCTGCAGGCATCCTGGCTTTTCCGGCACAAACTCCGCCTAACAGAGAAGCCAGGAAGAGAAAACTGAGTTGGGGGCAGATTTTATTGCTCTCCAGTTCTTTCCAAAAGGTCTGGGAGAGGCTCCCTTCCTCTCTCTCTCCCCCCACCCACCCCAACCCTCCTTCGCCTTCTTCACTGCCTGTGTTTTTCAAAAGCATCATGCTAATTTGCAGCTGCCACAGGTTTCCACAATCAGGTTCCTCCACTGGTGAGGCAGGCTGAAGAGCAAAAAAGGGAAACTCGCCTGTGCCCGTTTGCTGAGAGAGAGAGAGGAAAAAAATGAGAGAGGGGAGAGAGCAAGAGAAGGGAGAGGAGAGAGAGAGGGAGGGAGGGAAGGAGAAGCCTTGTTTTGGAAAGGGGCCCGAAAGTTTGTGTGGGGCAGCTGCAGGAGGGGAGGAACGGAAACACCCGCTACTGCGTTTCCTTGGAGTAGGAAGCACCGCGTTGGACCGAGCTGGTGTGCCAGCGCAAAAGATCCGCTGTTGCTGTTGCCGTGTACATAATTGTTCGTCTTGTTAGTAGGGAAGGATGGGCTGAGCTGGGCCATTCTACCGCGAGAGGCCTGCGGCTGTTAGGCATGTCTTCCACGATGACATCGTCCGTCGTCCTCCGTTGTGCTACCCCGAATCGGTTGCTTTCCGAAAGAGAAGTTGGCGACTTCCAAACCTTGGAAACTGCCTTTTTTTTGGGGGGGGAGGGGGGAGATGGCAGCCTTTCTCGGCTTCTTTAAATGTAAAGAGCCACCGGTGCCCTTTCCCCGCTCCTCCCCGGGTGACGGCTATGCCTTGGCTCAAATTAAGCTCCAAGCACACGCCTTTGTGAATCAGTAGAGGAAGTCCCAGCAGGGACATAGGGCTGCAATTGTCTCTCTGCCTTTTCGCATATCCCTAAAAGTTTTGGGAGCCTGGCACTGGGGGGGGGGGGGGGGCTATACGGGTGTTTTCTTTCCAGGGGGTGGGGAGAAATAGGGGGATCCTCTCCTCCTTCAAATATATCCTCCGCCACATGCGCAATTTCAAAGTCTGGTTTTATATGCAGCCTGTCTCTGCTTAAAGGAATTGTAAAGGAGGCATGAACTTCGCTTTAAGTGACAGAGCTGAAAACTCGCTGAAAGGAGCATCGGTCTCTCTAGCTTTTGACTGGGGTTCAAACTGAGGTGTCAATATCAGATTTTGGGGGCAGCCTCTGAAATTGTCGGCCACGGAAGTATTCCCAGCGGAATCTTTTCCGTCCTCCTTTTAATTTTAACATCCTTCAATCGGATTTATTTACTGGCTGGGTTTCTGGGCTGCCCAGTTCCAGAATGGTTTGGGGGCAGCCTCAGAAAATCTTTTTTAAAAAAACAACAACCTTTAAAGGAGTACAGGTAGCCCTCAACTTACAACCGTTCATTGAGTGACCGTTCAAAGTGACAATGGTACTTTAAAAAGTGACGCATGGCCGTTTTTCACAGCTACGACCCTTGGAACCTCCCCATGTTTCACTTGATCAACGTTCAGACGTTTGGCCACTGATTCGTATTTATGACGGATGCAGTGTCCTGGGGTCATGTGAGCCTCCTTTTGCGACCTTTTGCCAAGCGCAGTCAACCATGTAACTAACTTAACAACACACTCGCTTAACAAACATTGCATTGAACACCGGAAATTTGGGCCTCCATTCAAGTTGTAAGTTGAGGACTGTATTTTATTTTATTTTTTAAAAAAACACTCTTTAAAGAAACAAACAGCTGTCTAGACGCATAGAGTGGCTACCAAAGCCTCGTTTTCGTGCATTCAAAGAAAGACTGTTGGATAGCTGGCACTGTGTGGTAGGAAAAGGGGAGAAAATTCTGAATTGGAATAACAGAGTTGGAAGGGACCTTGGAGGTCTTCTAGTCCAGCCCCCTGCTTAGACAGGAAACCTTATACCATTTCATCTTGTGAAAAACTTCTAGTGTTGGAGCATTCACAATCTCTGGAAGCAAGTAGTTCCACTGATTAATTGCTCTCACTGTCAGGAAATCTGTCCTTAGTTCTAAGTTGCTTCTCTCCTTGATTAGAAGCATATTATATATACATATACATACATACACATACATACATAAATACATACACACACACACACACACACACACACACACACACACACACACAATATCATCAGTGCTAATGGAGTAGTCTGTCTGTAGAGGTTGTGGGTTCTCTATCTCAGAAGTTCTTAAGAAACTGGGCAGCCACCTCTTTAGGACAGAATAACAGAAATGGAAAGGACCTTGGAGGTCTTCTAGTCCAACCCCCTGCTTAGGCAGGAAATCCTACTCCACTTCAGACAAATGGCTGTCCAACATCTTCTTAAAAACTTCCAGTGTTGGAGCATTTACAACTTCTGGAGGCAAGTTGTTCCCCTGTTATTTGCTCTAACAGTCAGGAAATCTCTCCTTAGTTCTAAGTTGCTTCTCTCCTTGATCAGTTTCCACCCATTGCTTCTTGTCTTGCCCTCAGGTGCTTTGGAGAATAGCTTGACTCCCTCTTCTTTGGGGCAGCCCCTGAGAGATTGGAACACTGCTATCACGTCTCCCCTAGCCCTTCTTTTCATCAAAGTAGACATACCCGGTTTCTACAACCATTCTCTGTATGTTTTAGCCTCCAGACCCCTAATTCCTTTTGTTGCTCTTCTCTGCACACTTTTATTCTTCTATTCCTTTCGTTAGCTAAGTTGCCGTTGTGGGGTGCGCATCCACACTGGCACCCAAAGTGACCTTCCTTTTCGAGACAGCCCTAACAGGTCATCCTACGTGAACTAAACCATCATTTCGGTTGAAACCCATCCAGTATAGGGAGTTTTTGACACGCGATCACAATGGAACCCCTGAAGTTTGGTGGCTGAATCAGACAAGCTGTTAAAGCGAACGTTTTCCCCATCTTACAACCTTCCTTGTCACCGTTCTTAAGTGAATCGCCACACGTTGTTAAAGTTAGCAAAGGTTTAAAAAAAGAAAAGAAGAGTAAATCCCATGTCCCAAGGGAACCTTGCGCCCATCCTAAACGCAAGTTGTCCAAACGGCCACATTTCGACCACGTGACCATGGGGGAATGCAGCGACGGTTGTAAGTATGAAAAACATCCATGAGTTGGGGTTTTTTCCCCCCCAGCTGCGTTGTGACTTTTGAACAGTCACAAAATGAACTGTTGTAAGATG